CGGGACGCCGGACAAGCAGGCGCCCTCCCGCAAGGCAAGGCCGGGCCCCAGAGGAGGGCTCGCTCGGAGGTTTGAGCGCCAGAGCCCTTCTCCCACGTGGCAGGGGCCGAGGAAGACGTGCGATTCAACATCGTGCACTCGCTGCCTTCTGACATGGACGGCGCGGAGCCCGTGACCATGATCTTCATGGGGTACCAGCAGGCAGAAGACCATGCGGAGGAGAGGGGCTCCTGACGGGCTATGACGGCGTCATCCATGCCGAGCTGGTTGTCATCGATGAGGAGGAGGGCGAGGGAGAAGCTGGGAAACCTGCCCCCCAGCCCAGGGCGCCCCACGGTCAGGCGCCCCAGCCGGCCAGGCCGACACCTCTCCCCAGGAAGAGAGCGGAGGTCAAGCCCCCAGAGCACACACGCCACCCTTCTCCCCACAGACACTCCATGTCGCTGAGAGAGCAGGAAGAACGCCTGGGCAGCCCCGTCCACCCGCCTCCACACGCCACGCCGATGGCCGGGGACGGCACGGAGGACCCGTCGCTCACAGGTAACACCCGGGGCAGGGCTTGCCGCTGCTGTGTGGTCATGTGACAGCCCCGTCCTCGCGTCTTTAACAAACCCTCTTGCTTTCCACCTTTCGGACCACCCCACAGACTAACACTCACTAAGATTGGTCATTAACCCTGATTTCATTGTCACCCAACGTGAGTCAGTCAATTCAAAAGATAAGGAGAAATGGTTTTTTTTAAAAAATCGTCGCCTCATTTGGGTATTGCATCGGCTGACACTGATAACCTGAAATGCGCCTGCTGTCAGGGTGTGTGGTCCTGTGTGTGAAGGTATTTAGATCACTAGTAAGTTAGCTCATTGATGTCAGATCTTTTCGCTCCAGAAGCCGATGCCAGCGACTTTTGTGTGCCTCTGTGATTTCAGCTTCCTACACAAGCTAACAAATGGCCTTATTTTTGAAAGAAAGAACAAGAAACAAATTTTGGTTTTAGTGTGATATTTTATCACTTTGCTATACCTTCTTCCTACTTTTCATAGTTTTATTAACTTTACTTCCTTAATTTTTCTATATTTTAAAATAGAATATCACTTTATCTATCGGACGTCATCTACAACATCTGATTTTGCATAGCCTTCCCTAACTCAGCTCATTTATTTTTACCATTTTCTACATCTTTGCACTTCTCGTTCCCTGTACAGTTTTATGGCTGCCTATCTTTCTTAGCATCGAGTGGAAAACCACACTCTTTTTCTACAAAAGCGACAGCTCTTCAAGTTTAGATTCCTTGGTAGCACTTGACTAGGGCTCTCTACTCATCATTTGCAAATACTAAACAAGAATCTGACAAAATCAATGATGAAAGCTGTACTTGCCTTGCTAAAGACGTAGACAACATACCCAGGCATACTGTAAGGGACATATATAAAGGGGACAGTCATTTCACATGTCTCTAATAGGAGAATTCTCATTAAAAAGCAATAACTATCGCCCCGGCCTGTTTGGCTCAGTCGATAGAGCGGTGGCCTGCAGACCAGGTTTGATTCCGGTCAAGGGCATGTACCTTGGTTGCAGGCTTCTCCCCAGCTTGGGCCCTGGTTGGGGCACATGCAGGAGGCAACCAATCGATGTGTCTCTCTCACATGGATGTTTCTGTCTCTCCCTCTCTCTTCCACTCTCTCTAAAAAAATCAATGGAAAAATGACCTCAGGTGAGGATTAAAAAAAAAAGCAATAATTATTGAGTCCCAGCTAGTCTAGCAAGCAGAGCCTGACCATTCTGCAGGAGTTCGCTAGTGCCTAGCCATTCTTCTTCCTCTGCACCCAATAAACCCAGCCTTGGTTTGCCAATAACACAGTGAAATGGGTCTCTTCCCATCTATGACCTCGTTCAGTGAGGCTCACCGGCTGTTCACTTACTCATCTGAAAATTTCTAATCCCCTGGCGACTGGACACCTCCATTATCTTCCTAAACCCTGAACTCGATTCCACAAGCACCAAGCGTTGCATGGTGTGTGTCCCACGATGGAGACCTGCTATCAGAACGTTCCTTTCCCTTTCGAGAATGGCGAGAATGGGCTTTGTCTACTGAGCAAACTTTGCGTCTTGAATTCATTTTTAAAACCACACGAAAGACTTGGGATCGGGGAGCACGCTGTGTATGGCCGGGAGCTGTGACATGACCTACCCCGAAACCTCCCACTTTTTAGTTCGGATGTTAACGCCTCCTGAACACCCCGACCCTCTCCCCTACTGTGTCCACACCCTGACCTCAAGGAAAAGCCAGGAAGTGACTCATGCTCCCAGACACTCCTGGCGCTGAACTCACGGGAAAACAGGAAGCGCCCTCCAGACCGAGGAACAATGCAAAGCCCGCGCCGTCGGGCGGAGCATCTCACAAACAGGAGCTCCGAATCCCTCGCCCGTGGGGACTGGTCGCTGCTCCCTAACTCGGTGCGTGGCTCGCAGAGCTGCTCTGCTGTGAGTGGGTCTTTTCAATACGCACATCTCATGGACACACGCCCTCAGGGAGCCTCTGTGGGCATAGAATTCACAGCCCCTGCTTCACAAGCACCGAGTCGGTTGAACTTCGCCACCCACCCCCCTAACATGCCATGGCTGGTGTTTGAGAATTCACTTCAATCAACCCCTTTACTTATGGAATAGGTCCCCGTCTACATATCGATATTTCTGGAAGGCATCATAGTTAGGAATTCTTCTCTTCGTGTAAGTGTTGTCATGAGAGCCTGAGCGAACAGCGATTGTGAATGTGGAAAAGAGCCTGGAGGAGGAAGAGAGATGGGAAAAGGTGGAGGCGGGAGATCCTAGAGACAATATTTTTCAGTCAAAACTTTGAGCAGCGTAGGACACGACAAGAACATGTCGGCACAGTCTGCTGGTGCACACATAACAGGGTCGTGGTCTAAGACAGCGGTCGCCACCCGGTGGCCCGCGGACCACGGGTGATCCGTGAGGTCCGAAAGGCTGGCGACCGCTGGTCTAAGATACAGCTCAGTGCCAGACCTCCCGCCAGCGAGGGGCCCCAGCAAGCGCCTACCGGATGACACCAATCTCCACCAGCTGGACGGCTGGCTCTCTTTGGCATCCTCACCAACTTGGACTTGGACTTCTCCTGGCTCTGTTCTCCCTTAAATAAGTCAGTGACATTTCAGGATGAGGAGGTGGGGAACCTCAGCTCCGGGGGATTCACAGGCTGCCAGTGCCCATGTGGCCAACCTGTGCCAACCATTAAGAACCCAGGGATCCTGAGAGTGAGGGGCAAGCTCTCTCACCAGGTTCAACCAGCCAACACCATGATCCTGCATCGCTGTGGGGAGTGGGAGATAGAGATCAGAGAGGAGCAAAAGGAGAGCTGAGAGCCCGGGTTGATTAGCTGGGCACCTCAGGGCCTTCCCACTGCCCACGCGCCCTGGCCCCACACATCTACCTACTTGACACTCATGCTACCTATTGCCACAGGAGCAGAGAAAGGAATTAGCACACGCTAACGATCGAGAATTCTTTTCCCCATTAAGGAATAGGAGAGTGAGAAACAGAACAGAATCAACCCACTCCTGAGCCCTCACACAGCTACATGTCCTTTAAGAATTTCACTGGATGTCATGTATGCTGTGTTTGCTCTACTCATTTTTCCAACCTTTACAGAAAAAGGTTCCTTCTAGTCCTGAGTCTGCTTCTGCCCCAGGTTAACAGTCACTTGTTATTCCTACTACCCTTTTGTGCTACTAAAACGATGCTCACATTGTTGGACAGAACCCTCCCAGTGGATCTGGCCCTGCTCCCCTTTGGGGATGGGCAAGAGAGAGGGCCACAAAGCCACGAGGAGAAACGACAAAGCCTGTTCCACCTCCAGTTCCCTCCTGCTGCAGGAGGACTCGTTCTCAGGTGGCACCTCCCAACTTCTTCCAGCAACAGAGACCACCCTCTTGGTCTGATCCCAAATTCAAGGGACTGTTCTTGACCCCGCCCACTAGAAATAACCATTCCCCTTCAGGCTTCCGGGGAAATACTACTCTTTTGTTTCATTTAGATGCGACCATTTCATGAGTGAAGTGACAATAAACACGATCATGGTTTTGTTACAATATTGGATCCTATGTGTGAACAAGAGCTTCTTAGAGGTGTCGTCATTCATGTCATCTGTTAATGACAACTAATCATAGATGACTGAGAAACAAGAGAGCATGTCTTCCCTTTTCTATTTTTTTTATTAACATTTTGCAATCAGTTAACCAGCTCTGTCACACGTGACTGTCATAACCAGTGCCTTGCCAGCCTCTCTCAACTTTTGGAAAATGTTGTGGAGCAGCTGTACTCTGAGCCCTAAGTCTGGAGGGCGTGGTACCAGAATATCAGACGCGTCTTATGGATTCTAACTCGACGTGTTTAACAATGGTCTCTTCCTCCAGTACATCATTAGTGGTGGGATATGCTCAGAATGTGTATTTGGCATTTGAAAGACGTTTTATGATTTCTCCAACTTTCATTACTGGTAAACGTGCTTTCATTATAAAAAATTTTGCTTTTGTCACTCTCTATGCAAGAATGGAGCACCTTGGTATAGTCAAGTTTGATGAATTAAAAGATAATGTAACCATGAAATAGAGTTTGAGTCAATGCCATTTTTAGTTGTGCTTAGCTCAGGAATATGCACAAAACGCAGTCGTTGACCTCGATGGAATTTATTGATAGCCAATAGTGAGGCTGTACGCTAACCCTATATTGACTCCACGTTCGCCTTGCTTGCTCTACTGATTTTCCTAATCTTTATAGTAACAGGCTCCTTCTAGCTCTGACCCTGCTTCTACCCTGAGTTAATCATAGCTTATTATTTCTACTATCTTTTTGTGCTACTAAAACAATGCTCACGTTGTTGGACAAAATCATCTGAGGTATGTTTCAAACTTTCCTATGAAATGGTCATTTAGAGTAGAAATTAAGGTTTCTGTTTATAACTATTTTTTTTTTCTTTAATTTGCAGCTTTAAGGATAAGAATGGCAAAGCTGGGGAAAAAAGTTATCTGAGAGGTGTACCGTCTACATAAACATACTTTGGAGAAGAAACTACGAAATGTTTGCCACTTTCTCTCCTGGATACTGTGTTTCTTTCTTTTTCTTTTTGATCCAAAAAAAATTACGATTATATCCATATTAAGCCATGTGAGTAAGCAGTAGCCATTATTTGTAAAATATATATATATATTGCAAAAAAGCTGGGAGAACGAACACTCAGCTTTTCCAGTTACTTGACATGATTCAGTGGGGGTGAAAACCAGAATATTTTTATTGTCTTGATACCAAAGCATTTCTAATAAGAGCTTGTTAAATTTAAGAATAAAGTTATTTAAAATAGCCTGACTCTGTTCCATTCACTGATGTTGTAATTTTGCGAATACAAATGAAAGATCATCGGGAGCCACTGTCCCTTGTCACAGAAACATCCATCTTTAAGTCTGACACGTGAACGGGCTTTCCCAACCCACCGAGGCTGTCAGACAACCACACCCTCCCGCTGAGGACCAAGTCGGCTGGCTGGGGAGAGACTTCAGCCCTTGGCACACGTCCAACAGGTGTGTGCGCGATGGTTACCCTCACATTTGGGGACGGGACTGGGATTATGCTGCCCATGTGCATGACTTTACAGACGGTAACTGGCATGTTTATTCTTCTTGAAACATCACCCTTTCTGTCATCCAGTTCAGTGTGAGCCCCCTGGCTCAAGGACTGGGTACGACCCGAGGCTGGTCGATGGAGGGCTTCCCCTGCTCTCAGAGGACACAAATCTGGTCTCAGGCTTGGCCGATGGCGGTGAACAAGACAGACTCCTGTTATGAACATGCAGGGAGAATGTGTGCAGCGTGCATTCCTACGGATTCTTGCTGGGGCATAACTCCTAATTTGAAGAATAGTCTGATGCCAGGTCTCTCCTACTCCACCCAACACGCTCACACCCACGCACACGCATCCTCCCCGATCACGCCCGCGCCTGGCACCCAGGTCCTGTGGGTCTCCCAGTGCGTTTCCCTGCTGAGACGATGCGACCCAACCTCAGTCGCTGGGAAGTAGCAGCAGCAGACCCGACGGACCAGCATCACCCTGAGAGGCATCGGCCTCAGACAAGTTCTGTGCAAAGGCCAGCTGGTCTCGAGGAGGAAAGAGCTCCTCTGCTCTCTGGAATGTTCTAGAAAATCTGGGGATTTGAATTTCAGAGACACTTTTATGCAAACACCCCAACCCCGGGTCCCAGGTCCAAGGTCCCATTCCTTCCCCCTCTTCCCTAGAAGAAGCCCTAACCCTGACCCTCCTGGGAGAAGTCGGAGGTTGGAATGCAATCTTTCCTTTTTCTCTATCTCCTTCCAGGACGTGCTCTGTCATTTTTGCTTTCAAGGGTTCTGCTGTGACTTGCATAAGCCTGCCTTCAGGTTTCCCTGCATGACATAACCCCTGCATCGGGAGTCAGTAAAGTTATCAAATTCGGGGATTTCTTAGTCGTTAGATCCGGAGCCTCCTCTCCTTCTGAGAGAATACCACGCAGGTTGTCATTCAACAGGTCCCTGGGGTTCAACTGTTCTCCAAAAGTTTTTCTTTCTTCTCTTCAAAGAGATTGTTCCTATTGATCGATCTATCTTCAAATCCACTGGCTCCTTTTTCTCTGCTGTCTCCATTCTGGTATTAATTCTATCCAGTGAACTTTTCCAAATACTTTTCTCAGCTCCTCAATCCTATATGGTCCTATTGCATTGTTTCCATGTCTGTGCATCTTTTCTTAAAAATTATTTTTATTGATTTCAGAGAGGAAAGAAGACGGAGGGAGGGAGGGAGAGAAACATCAGTGATGAGAGAGAACCATTGATTGACTCTCCACCCACCCCCCTCCCGGCCACATGACCCCACACTGGGGATCTAAGCCCACAACCAGGCATGTGCCCTGACCAGGAATCAGACTGTGACCTCCTAGTTCATAGGTCGATGCTCAACTCCTGAGCCACACTGGCTGGGCTCTGTGCACCTTTTGATTTGCAGCAGGCACGTAGCCCAGACTGCCAGGGCGGCGGGCAAACAGGCACTGGGCTCCCCTCTCTAAAGGGGGGTTCCTTCCCAGGACACCCCCTCCCTGTCCTGACAGCGGCAGGCGGCCTGTCCCGCAGTCCGTGCGAGACGGCAGTGCTCTGCCACCCAGCACCATGGGGCTCACTGCAGCTGCTCTGAGAACAGGGAACTCAAACCTCCTTTTTAAAATATATATTATTGATTTTTGACAGAGGTGAAGGGAGAGGGATAGAGAATTAGAAGGCCGATGAGAGAGAAACATACATCAGCTGCCTCCTGCACACCACCTACTGGGGATGAGCCCGCAACCAAGGCACATGCCCTTAACGAGAATCGAACCTGGGGCCCTTTAGTCCACAGGCCAAGGCTCTATCCACTGAGCCAAACCAGGTAGGGCAGGGCAGCTCCTTTTTTACAAGCTTACGTTCGTTTCTGGAGGAGAATGTTCGACAAGACCTTAGCCATTGCTCGATTCAGGAAATGCTTTTCCTCAGAGCATGGGTGTCTGATGGGGAATCAGAGCATTTGCTGAGATCCTCACGGGGAAATGCAGAACACAAGGCGATCTCTTCCACGTGTGAATAAGGCGTCACACTCCACAGATGTGCTCTGCACACCCAGAGAGAGTCTCCTCCCTGAACCGGAGGTGTGGGACTGGCATGACAGGAAATTACGTGAACTTCTTTGATAACAAAATAAGAAACTAAACTGATAACAACTTTAGGGCCAGCAAAACCCCTGGATTTTTCCACCCAAAGGTGTAATCCAAGAGCAGTCATGAGACCAGTATTTGTTTTATTGAAGTGAAATTCACATAAAAAATAATTTTTAAAATATATTTTTATTGATTTCAGAGAGGAAGGGAGAGAGAGAGACTGGGGATCGAGCCCGCAACCTGGCCATGTGCCCAGGCCTGGAATCAAACCGTGACCTCCTGGTTCATAGGTCAACGCTCAACCCCTGAGCCATGCTGACCAGGTCAAAAAATAACAATTTAAAGTGAACTATTCAGTAGCATTTCTTACATTCACGATGTTGTGCAACTGCCACCTCAGTCTCCAGAATACGTTCATCACCCCAAACTAAAAATGGTCTGTGCATCATGCAACGACTCCCATTCCCTCCGCCCCACAGGGAGGCAGCTGATCAATAATGCTCTCTTATCACTGATGTTTCTATCCCTCTCCCCCTCTCCCTTCCTCTCTGAAATCAGTAAAAACATATATTTAGGAAGAAAAGAAAATAAAAGGAATGGACCCCAGGGAAGGTCAGTGACCTGCCCACAGGCCTGCAGCTTCTAAGCCTGCAGGTGGTCGGAACCGGGAGGGAGCCAGCCCCGCCCGAGCAGTGCGCAAACTCATGTGCTTGGAAGGGCTCCAAGAGGAGGGTAGTCCTGAGCCAGAACCTCACAAGTTGGCTTTTGCCAGAGCGAGAGGAACCGAAAGGGCATCGCAGGCAGGTGGCCAGTGGTGACCTGGGCCCAGGGGTGAGCCGTGGGGGCTGGGCCAGGAGGAAAGAAGTGGACGAGGACAGGGACGGTGTGAGCCCTCATCAGGTGTGACAAGAGCTGAGAGGAAGCGTCCTTTCCTTCCCTCTCTCCTGGATTATCTCACACGGAGACCTGGTCCTGTCTTCCTGCTCCACCAGAGTAACAGATCCACAGAATTCCACCCAAGAGCTGCACGTGCCCCAGAACTTTCCGGTGGCAGGTACCGCACTGCGCCCTGGACGGGGCGGGCGGGACGTGGAAGGACAAAGCTCACTGACCATGCGTTAGAGCCCAAACCCTGATGGAAACCACGCCAGCGCTGAAGTGAAGTCGTGCATCTGTTCACAAGCTTTGCCGCAAGCTCCCTGCACCCTTAAGACCGATGACCACAGGCCAGAAAATCATAAACACAGAACAGGCTCGGCGATCAATGCTCCCCAGCCACCGAACTCTAGAATTAGTTTCATTTTTTCCCCAAAAAACATACTTATTTGTATTGTATAGAGGAGCCCATCTTTAGATAAACAAGCACCTGTGATTCTGCTCACCCCCCGACAACATCGCTAACGACAGGAAGGCAAGTCGTTTAGCGATCACTGCTATCGAAAGAAGTGTGTGTGTGTGTTTTAAAAAGACACTGATTGTTTATTATAAAAATGGAGAGAAAGACTGAGAAAAGTGAAGGTAGGCATTTTATTTTTTTTAAATTTATCTTTATTGTTGAAAGTGTGGCAGATGTCCACTTTGTTTGCTGTTACGCATACAAGTTCCACGGGTAAACTCTCCCCCCACTACCCCACCCCCACCTTCCCTCTGAAGTGCATCCGTCTGTTCATGGTTCTGTGTCTCTGGATCCATTTTGTTCATCCGTGTATTTTGTTCATTAGATTCCACACGTGGGTGGGATCATGTGACACTTGCCTCTCTCTGACTGGCTGATTTCACTCAGCATCACACCCTCCAGGTGCCTCCATGCTGTTGCTGTTGTAAGAGTTCCTTCTTACCATTCATAGCAGAAGCATCCTGACTTGGTATTACTGAAAAAGTTTCATCAATTAAGATTAAATGACAAAAACTTCGTTGGGCAACTCTCCATCGATCAATGCCATATCCAAAGAGCGCCCACAGATGAATCCGGGAAGTAGAAAAACTGAACATGAGCAAGTTCACATACTGAAAACCAAACACACCGAGGTCCCCCTTTCCCTTCAGAGAATCCTTCCCTGTCACATGCAGAACAGAACCGACCGAGAGAAATTCCCTAGCCTTTACGCCCTTTAGAGGTGAAAACTGGTGAAAACCAGTTTAGTATACATTTCATTTTCTAGGCTTAAAAAATTTATTTTTCAACATACATGCAAAAGGAAGGGTTAGGCTGTGAGTAGCCGGGCACTTACGGGAAAGCCACATCTCACCCCTACGCTGCTTGTGAGAAACTCCACTAAAAGGAAGAAAAACACACCTCCCCATCACTTCACCCAGTCAGAGGCGCCGGACACATGGCCGAGGCTGCCTTACCCCCGATAGAAGTCAGGGCCTCGGGCCAACCAGAAACGGTAACGTAACCAGAACAGCTACAGAAGTGAACTGTGCGCCCTGCACTCTTATTATTTTGAGAGTGTCCACGGTGCTTGTGTCCTGTGCCGAAGATCGCTGTGTTCATCGGCCACAGGGTCAGAGGACTGTAAAGGGACATATCAAACTGTTGTTACAGATAATCACAGGGAAGAAAAATCAAATGAAACAATGGACTTAATTTCAGTTTCTGACGCAAAATACCGACCCTCCCCCACCCGACCAAAAAAAGGCAGGATTTTTTTCAAATGAAGATAGAGTCGGTGGATTTTAAGGAAAATACATCCATGATGTTATCTAAGTTCTGAAAAGGGATCTTGGCCCAAGGAGGCAGGAACCAAGCTGTACTTTGGTATATGGCGCCCCCCACTGGCTAGGAGTCCTCATGGCAGGTGTAAAACCCAGCCCCAAATAGGAGAATGATTACAGCAGGAAGGACAGGACGATAACTGATGATTCCAGCTCATTAGCGCACCAGGAGCTCCCAGCAGAGCAGAAGCCACACGGCAAGAGAGGAACTTCGATGTGTCCACAAGGGTGAGCTTTATTCGTTTTGAAATTCGAGTCTACAATCTCCAAAGGCTGTCGGATTCAAATCTTATTGTCAAAACACCAGCATATAAAAAGCCATCAGCTCTGTTGCTGAAAATATAAAGGCAGTTCTTAAGCAGAAGATGCACACTCACACTTCACAGCTAGGGAAGACATTATAATATCCGTAATATGTTTCAATGTTAACACTTACCATGGGTCAGCCCCATTTCCACCTTTACCAAAGAAACAAGATACACAGAGCAAGGAATGAGTCCCCAAAACAGGACTGAAAAATACAGTTTCCCAAAAAGCCCTAGGAAAAAAGACCATTGAGATAAACTAGTAAAAATACAGGGTGTCCCCCCAAAAATGTATACACACTTTGAATAATTATAAAGGCAATGTTTATTAAAATACATCCTATTTTTAAAATTGACCTATCAGCTGTTAAAGTGTGTACTCATTTTTGGGGACACCCTGTAGATGTCTTAAAAGACCTAAAGTACTTCCAGAGCCCCAATATAGTACCTCTCCTCCCCTTTCCATCCTAACGTCATCCTTTATTTTCCAAATAGTTCTTGTTTACATTCCTAAATTCTAACATTCTTAAAATCTCAGCATAGAAATACTGGAGGGGGCTGAAGGGAAGTGGGGGAGGGGAGACAGGGGATCAATGGTGATGGAAGGAGACCTGACTTGGGGTGGTGAACACACCAGACAGCGTATAGATGATGGGTGTGGAGTTATTCGCCTGGAACCTGTATCCTTTCATGAACCAGTGTCACCCCGATACATTCAATAAAAAGGTGCAGAAAAGAGAAATATTTGAGGGTCACTTCTCCTCGACCTTCCCTTTAAGACTCGGACCTGCACCTAAAGGCTGGACGGCACATCACAGTCCACAGGACCCTAAGGGCCAGCCACCAGAACCCCACGTGGGCATGGCCTGGTCTCCAACTCGGATTCCCTGCCCACGCCCGGCAGGTGGCGTGGGTCTCGCATTCCTCGGCTCGATGAGACCGTCACCTGGCCGGCACAGCAAGGCCGTGGCAGGCTCAGAGACGGCTGACGGCAGACAAGAATATGACGAGAAAAGTCACGTTCCCACAGACATACACGGCTAGCACCGCCTTCTTAAAGCCATGGCCCTGAAAGGAAAACGCACAGGTGAGAGGACGGACCACCGATCCTGAAGGCTTTTGTCAATCCTATATCATAAAAGCCTAATATGCTAAGTGTCCGGTCATCCAGTTGGCCAGTCAACCAATCAAAGCGTAATATGCTAATGATATGCTAAGGCCGCTCAACCACTCGCTATGATGTGCACTGACCACCAGGGTGCAGACGCTCTGACCTGTAAGTTAGCTTGCTACTGGGGTCCGGCCAGTCGGGACTGAGCGAGATGGGCTGGACATGCCCTGGAGCCCTCCCATAGTCCCTCCCCGGCTGGCCAACCTCCCAAGTCCCTCCCTGGCTCTGATTGTGCACGGCTGGGGTCCCTCGGCCCAGCCTGCACCCTCTCGCAATCTGGGCTGAGCCCCCCCACCCCAAGTGCACAAATTTCATGTACCAAACCTCTAGTAAAACTATAAACAAGTAGGACTTACTTCTGCCTCAGCCATGGTAAAGGTCTGCATAATCTGAATTCTAGTGTCATCCAGTATTTCAACTGCCAAGAGCAAAAACATGCGTCGGTAAGGCCCGTGGGTGTGCTGGCGAACACTTGTGCAGCAAGGCTCATGGGTAGGGTTTGTTGAGTCTGTTCTCCCATTTCCAGCTCCCAGGACATTCCAAACATCCCCAATAGTAAGGCTCTCACACTCCGGGACGGGTACTTAAACATGCTCTTTTCTAGGCAATTCCAACCAGATCAAACCCCTAACAATACAAGTGTGAAGTACATTTTTTTTCTTTTCTTTTTTATATTTGTTATTGATTTCAGAGAGGAAGGGAGAGGGAGAGAGAGACAGAAACATCAATGATGAGAGACAATCATTGATAGGCTGCCTTCTGCACACCCTACACTGGGGATCGAGCCCACAACCGGGGCATGTACCATGACCTCCTGGTTCACAGGTCGATGCTCAACCTCTGAGCCTCGCCAGCCGGGCAGCATATGTGTCTTTTAAACAACAAGCCCCAGCTCCGTGGTCAGCAGAAGCCCGGCTATATATGTATTCCTATCAGAAACCAAAAACGCAGGAGCATTCAGCTCCCAAAAGCCACCGACTCCTAAAGTCACAACATACTACATTAGACAACAAAGAGGTTTGACTTGGAGAGGGCACCTTGATTTCTCACTGGGGGGGCGGGGGGCAGGGCTGAATACTAGACAGGACACCGAGGACACAGCTGGTTGGACAGACTCCACGCTGGTTGGACAGCTCTCCACCCTCGGGCTCCAGGGCAGTGCCCTGCCTGGGACACACAGCTGGGCAGAGTCAGCCCCTCCCTCGTGGCTCACTCATGAGCCGGCTGTGTCCAACGGGCAAGGCCAGCGGAGGTAGCGCCCTGTAAACTATCAGAAGGGAACAGCTGTCTGCAGCCCTGCCCTGGGCTGACTCTGGGCATCCCTGCTTCCTCCGGCTCGGGGTCCCCCCCAGGCATGCGGGGCTCCCTGTGTCCACCGCCTCCCAGCTGGACCCGCGCAGCACATGTCCTGACGAAGATGTCCTCCCTGAAGCCTGCAGTCGGTCCTTCTGTTTTCCCCACAATTTATCATCCCGACAAACACGAAAGAGAGAGGCAGGAAATGCCCACAGTTTCTAGCCCTGAGTGACCGGGCAGGAGTGTTCAAGGCGCTCCCGGGAGCAGCCCCCCTTAGTATCGGGAACCCGACCGCTCTCCACCGGCTCACGGGACAGCGATTCCGGGCGGTACCTTTGCGCGAGAGGCGGTACGCGTGGACCTCCAGCACGATCTCTGCCCCCACGTGCCAGGCGACAAACCCCAGCATCACGTAGGTCTTCCACGGGCCGGGAAGGGCCAGTCCCGGCAAATCCATCCCCAGGAACATCGCCGCCACTGCGTGCAGAGGGAAACAGAGCCACGTGTGTATTTCCACGCAGTCGCCACCAAGAAGGTCACAGTGTGTCTACACTACATGCAGAGGGAAACGGAGCTGCATCTGTACGGCATTTCCACGCAGTCGCCACCGAGAGGTCTCTGTGTGTCTGCACGCACGCGGGTTGTAGCAGAGGACACGTGTCCAAAGGGTTGAGTGAATGAAATCACTATTTCAGGCCCAACGGTCACTCCGTGTTTCCTAGTCTTAGGGCTAGACTGGGAGGGTCAGAGGAGAGATTGTGGACAGATTGTGGCGATTCTCAGAAAAGAGGCGGCCGCACTGAGCAGGTTTCAAGGCTGCGGGTGAAAGGGAGACCAGTACGGAAACCAGTGGCGACTGCACTCCCCTTTCCACCAGGAGCCCCACGGGCCACGGAAACAGGAGGGAGCGGCGCCAGTTTAGAGACTTGTTACCAAGGCAGCAAAACACGGGAAAGTCAGACCCGACTCTGCAAACCGCCTTCTGGGGGAGGCACCATCTCCGGGGGAGGGGCCTGGAGACAGAGGCCTGGGACGCCCCCTCCAAGTCCCCCCAAGACCCAGCTCAGCCCAGCTCACAAATGACCCTCCACTTGAGCTCCTCAAACAGTTGGCAGCCAGCAGCGTTTATTCTGTTTGCAAAGGCAAAAGCTAAAAACAAAAGTCTTAAAAGGAAAGTTTTAACGTCATTTTAAAAACCCTGAGCTTACAACTGAAATAATGACTTAAATAGCTATCTCGAGAAATTACTTTCTGGATTTCAATGTTTAAGGCTGATTTCTCCTCAACAACCAATCACTCCGCTCACTAATGCACCTAAAAAGCCTTCACGCCCAATTACAACTTGCATCATGGGCGACTGGCAATCATATGTGAATGTCGGCATCACGGCCACTTACCTGCCACAATTCTAGCAGCTGTTCCCATCCCCCAGTGCGTCCAGTTAAACAGGTGCCTCCTGCCACAATAAAGAAGCGAAAGGATCCTTAAAAGGGACAGAACCACCGTGAATCCCCCAGAGAACCCCCTATCGCCTAGGAATGAGACATCTGAAATCTACTTTAAAGCTTTTAAGTAAATAGAATTTATCACTGAATTTCACAAAATGCAAAGTCTTCTGCTTGAAAAGAGATTCATGTGCCGACGAATGCCCGGCACGTGGGAGAGCCGTGTAGCAAGGCCGCGAGTACCTGGGGTCGTGTAGAGGTGGCCTCATGGCTGCCAGCAGGGGCTGCAGAACCGCCAGGACCAGCACCATGCAGCCGAGGTAGGGGTGGTAACCTGCACGCTGAGAGAGTGACCCCACGTTAATGCTCTCGCTCCTGCCCTCGATTCACACCCGCAAGTTAGAAATAATACACATCTATTCATTCTTCATGCATTCCTGTAGCTTTAAACATTGGAGGATGGTGGTGACAACAGTGATGCTGATGATGACAGTGATGATGGTAATGATGACAGCGATGGAGGTGATGGTGGTGGTAGTGGTGGTGGTGATGGTGATGGTGTCATAATAGTAGTGGTGGTGATGATGGTGGTGGTGATGACAGTGGTGGTGGTGTTGGTGATGGTGATGGTATGATGATGTCCTTCACACCAGGCACACACTCCACACACTCATGTTCCACGCTCGGTTATGAATAACCCACTTTTAAAAACGGGGGAACTGAGGGTCAGAGACACCAGTAACGTGTCCAAGGACGTGGCTGTGGTGTCACCCACGCACAGAAATATCTGTTTGCCCATCATCTGAGAATAAAACAGCAATCTCCTTTGACGCTCAAGTGAATTTAAATGAAAACAGCCAGTGTAAGAGGTACTTACGCTACTCCAGCCTCCTCGGTAAATGAAAGGCAGGACGAAGGCAATGCAGGTGAGGGAGGAAGTAATTAGCATGAGCGCCCGGTGCACCTGCAAAGGGTGAAATGACAGTGAAAAGAGAGTTACCTGAGCCAGAGAAAGGACTTGGTGTTACCATGGGGACAAGATCATGGGATGGGATTCCCCGAAGGGATGCTTTTGATTGACACCTGACATGTGACACATGAAAGGTAAGGTGTGTTCTGCTTTGTTTTGAGGGGTACCAACTGACTCTCGCCTCCTGGTCCCAGACAAAGGGGGCAACATGAAAAGAAACGCTTCTAGTTCCCATCCTCCCCGCCACCCAGAGGAGACAGATGACCTTGACCGGGGAGTCTGACATGGATTGGCGCAGCATCCGGAGGACAGACCCCTGTGGACACACAGGAAGCCCCCGCGATTTCCCTCCCTGCCCTCTGCCTTCCTTGCCCGTCTGTGCTCCGTGCAGCTGGACATGCAGGTCAGGGTCCTGCGGGTCCCAAAGTCTACGTCACACAGGGAGGCACGCGGCCCTGGCACGTCCTCCAACCCCGCCCGAGCCCTGCCTAAAGTCGCCCCTGTTGTGACCTCTCTCAAGGACCTTGTGTCTGTTCTCATCTGGTTAGGAAACCAAAGGGCAAGAAGAAGAAATCATTAGGATCCAAAACCACAAAACTATGCCACACACACACAAAGGGAACGGAACCCACATAGTCCATGTGTTTGCTTGCTGCACCGTACAGCTAGTGCGAAACCGCATGAACCTTCCCCTCCCACCTACCTGGAACCAAGCGGCTTCGCCGAAGAAAGGCCTGGACAGAACGGGCTTGAAGAACCGGGCAACGATGACACCCACGCTGACGGTCGTCATCCAGCTCACGAGCATCAAGGCCCCTGCAGGGAAGATGCGATGGTGACATCACCAACTCACCCCGCTATCCTGCAGCAACCACGCCACGTGCTCAGAAAACAAACACCGCCAGCAAAGTACATTCAACTGCCATGGCATACCCTCAAAACGCCCGGATATCACAGCTCTCACTCTCACCACGACTGCTTCTAACAGCTAACACTTCCATAGCCCTACTATGTGCAAGGCGCAGTCTCTAAGTCAGTGATGGCGAACCTTTTGAGCTCTGCGTGTCAGCATTTTGAAAAACCCTAACTTAACTCTGGTGCCGTGTCACATATAGAAATTTTTTGATCTTTGCAACCATAGTAAAACAAAGATTTATATTTCTGATATTTATTTTATATATTTAAATGCCATTTAACAAAGAAAAATCAACCAAAAAAATGAGTTCACGTGTCACCTCTGACACGCGTGTCATAGGTTCGCCATCACTGCTCTAAGTGCTCCCCGTGAACTAACCTAATGGATGTTTACCACAATCCGATGAAGTGATTACAATTATTATTATTCCAGTTTTGCTGGATGGGGAAACCAAGGCACAGAGATGCCATGTAAGTCGAGCCCAACCTGGGCAGCTGTACCCTTAACCATTGCGCTAATAGAGCCGGAGTTACCTTGGAACCGTCTCACCTCTCACTCCAAAAACCAGTGAAAAACCAACAGGTGCCCCGGCCGGGTCGCTCAGTGGATTGGAGCATCGTCCCACACACCAAAAGGTTGAGCGTTCAGTTCCCAGTCAAGGCACAAGCCTGGGTTGCAGGCTCGATCCCTGGTGGGGGGCGTGCAAGAGGCAGCTCATCAATGTTTCTCTCTCATTGATGTTTCTATGTCTCTCCCTCTCTCCCTAAAATCAATAAAAACATATTAAAAAATAAAAATATTTTTTAAATGTTTTTTACAGAAAGGTAAATCCTGCTAACTGCACATGTGAATGGTCACACAGAGATTTCTAAACAGTTGCTAACTTCTGTTCGCCACGACTCCTACCCCAGCCAGCACCGAGCCACCAGGTACGGTTACGGGCAGAGTGAGGATGCAGCACACACACAGGGAGCAGCTCACCGTGAGCCCTCAGCAGGGGCGGGGCCCGAGACGCTCCCACGTCCTGCGGATCACCTGTCACGTCATGTTTTTCATATGTAATCAGAGGCTGCTGGGAGTGTCTATAAATTCGACCTGAAATTATAAAAAAGCAGGAAAAAAAAAGATGAAGAAGAATTACTTCCTCAGAAGAGAAGGAATGAAATGACTGTGTCGGGACCTGGAAACAAAACTTCTCAAAATAATAGAAAATAAATATCAACAGAGATGCCATTCATATGCAAAAGCAACCTAAACCCAGATGCAGGGTCACACGACCTTATTGGGGAAAAAAACTAAAGAAATAATTTAGCCAACCAAGACATGAGGCTGGGAAGGTGGGAGTTACAGTGAGACACCCACAAACAATGTTTCATCCAAATAATTACCGTTAATGTGACCACAAATGATTGAAAATGGCAAGGATAATTCTTGAAAGAGAATACATGTGAAAACTAATCTAGAATTCTAGATTAAGCCGACAGAAACTGGGCCTGAGAGAAAGACAAGCACATTTTGATGCTCCGTTATGTGGCATTGACCGACTGGGACTGGGTTTGACGAACAAACCAAAGTCCCAAAGAAAAGTGATGTGCACAGTTTGAGAATGGGTTATCATATTATTGTTCATTATGTATAACTTTAAGTCTGTGAGTGTAGAGTTATTCCTGTTAGTTTGTATTCGTGAGTATGGGTGTGTGTGAATTCCTACATTCTGAGAACCTACCCTACAGAAATACCCTTTACCCAAAGGTATATGTACAAGAATGTTCACAGAAATTTGTTTTATGCTAGCCAAAAAAATTTAAACAAGCTGAATGGTCATCATCAGGAGAATCAGTAAATAAATTATGGAGCATAGATTATTTTTAGAATACAATGTGTACCAAAAAGAATAAAAATAATTAAGAAATTTGAATATATAT